ATGACATTTTGTGTGAATCTACATAACTCCATTATAATTATAACATTAACTATCACTTGTTTAATTAAGTATGGATTTAAACTTCAAGTCACTGTTTACTAATTGTGAATTCACTTTGTATAAATGCAGGGTTTTCTCCATGCATCTCTTATAAGCATGTCCCCAACACCTTACCTGCGGACAACATTTTAAAAAAAATATAATTTATGTAGAAAAGCAATACTTAAACCAGTCTCCAGAAGACTATGCCCCCAACTCCAGCAATTTAAAGGGCTTACCCGAAGAAAAAGTTCTAAAATAAACCATGTTTGGAAGTTTTTATTTTTAAAAATCGGCTATCACACAAGTTAGTTAACCATCTAGTAAAATATACATCATCCATTGGGAATACATTACACAACACATATTATGTCGTTATTTTAATCAACCCTCATAATATGCAATATTTCTCCTGCATAGAAGCATTTGCGATGAATAGTACGCGACCAAAGAAATACATTTTCTGATTTTAAAAGTAATTTTAAGTAATTAAAAGATCTTATGATTTTAGCGATTGTTTGAACTATCTTTGTTGAAATCCATTGTGAATGTTATATATGTATTTTGCATTGTTTTATTATTTCTAATTAGAGATTGCTTAAAAACATTTTAAATGTGCGTTAAGCTATGGTTAAAAGTAAACTGCATGGTACTTAAAACTTAAACGTACTAAGCAAAAAAATAAATAAAATAGAATGAATTGAGTCTATCTGGAATTTTGGATAAATACTGACCTAATATTAACACTTTATGTTATTTTCAGCCTTTATTTTGTAGTATAAAAATTGGAATTGTTCTATGCTTATTTATTATATTGAAGTTACTGTACACGTTTTGAATTGTACAGTTGTATTTTTCGCACATTTTATAATGTAATGAAGTCGTGTATCGTGTTATTATTTTACTAACTTTAGAATGTGACAATGGTAAATTTGGAGCTACATGCAATAGTACATGCAGTCTAAATTGTGCAGAACAATTGTGCGACGCAGTCAGTGGAAAATGTAAAGAATGCCCACCAGGAAAAATGGGAGATTACTGTGATAAGAGTAAGTAGATCTTTTTTTCCCTTGCCAACTGAAGCGTACAATATCGATTATTACGTTATGTTTATGTGGAGCGTTTCGTTTCTTACTCCCAAATGCTAAAGAATGGGGCTTTTTTTGTTGCAATTATCAGATTAGTCTAGTTATTTCATGTTACATTATTGATAACAGAAAAAGTATTGTCAAAATTGCGGAAAAAAGAAAACATGCTCACGGGTAAGTACATATCTTCTGAAATTACGATATCTTTAAGAACAAAATATTTTTGAACAAATTGCTATATTTACATTTTTGTTGAATCGTCCCACTTATGTGACACTAGCAAGAAAAAAAAATGTTTTTTTTTCAAATTATTTGTTATTATTAAATTATAGTTCCCTGTTGACATTTGAGTGTTAAATACTTTTTATATATATTCAAATGACATGGACATATTTTAAAAATTATATATTATTGTTTGTGAATATTTACATCGCTATTTCCCAGGTATCAGAATTACTCCAACTCAAGTGCTTAATGTGTGATTATTCTTGATTATGTTAATTTACCTCGGTGCTGTGAATTTTCCAACTAAATAATGCTTCAATTTTATAAGACGACGATAATAACAATGGTCATGATTTAGATTACTAAAATTCTGACTACAATTGCAAATACTGTTTAACAGGATGTTCAAGATACATAAAGCAGAAAAGATGCGTGAGAAATGCACTATTGCCGTCCCAAAATGTCATTCTGTTCCAAAGTGTCTATCTTACCAGTTTTACTATTCTAATTTTTACAACGCTTACTAAGAGATTGCTAGTGTTAGATGGTTACCTGTTCAGATGATGTGCTTTCGTGGATGCGAGTCATGTACATTCAATATAGTTTCCGGAGACGGACTCGGGCTATAGAAATAAGATATATTTAGTCTTCAAATTGCGTACACAAAACATACACATTGTCAAGGTTCGTGAAAGGTTCATCAACTTGATCAATCCTTCTAAGATTTGCTTAGCAATGTCAAGCTAAACACTCATATGATATGGACACGTAGCATGATCAAGCAATTTTTCTATGACTATCCTGAAGGGCACAGTATTAGGGTGGGAGGGGGGTAGAGAATAACAAAAGAAAAGACGGTTGACTGTTAAATTTTTAAACACTGATACATTGTGATAATTATGCTTTTAGTCAAATTGAAACATCTAATTTGAAACACCATTAATTGTATCATATACTTGGTAGTAGTATTTAAAAACGTGTTTAATTTCTATGGTCTCATTAGTCTCATATTATCTAACATATAAGCCATAAATGATGTAACCATGTTTTTATATACAATATTCAGAAAGCGATTGGGATACTTACGGGCTTAACTGTAGTAAAGGGTGCTCAAGACAATGTAAACCTATAACTGGCAGCTGCTTTTCATGTAACGGTGGCTTCAGTCAAACTCATTGCATCACTCGATTGAAACCAGTACAAAGTGTTGATACCCTCTTTTTGGTTTATGAAAAATAACATACAAGATGCTGCTGCGCTGAATATTTTGGATGTGTTAATTTTTATATTATTTTTTTAATGAATGATAAAATACTGATGTGTATTAATAAAATAAAGAATAGGAATTTGAAACGCTATGTTTTGAAATTTAGTTCCAATAAGTATTATTATTAAAAACGTAAAAATAATAAGATAAAAACGTTTCATATATAAAAGGAAACATATTTATCTTAATTTCTTTGTAACCTTTGTTGAAAAAAAAATTCCTCAGATTTTATTTGTAGGGTAATACTAAACAATTAGTTTACTTTTCTTAGTTAAAAGCTTACTTCTTTTTAAAGCAGCTTAAATTATTTTTTGCTGTACATTTTAAACCAATTAAGTAATTCAAACTTTTATTGATTTATGTGAAAGAGGTCATCCATAAATGACGTCCTGCTTTTTTTGACGATTTTTACCTCCCCCCTCCCCTCCGTCACACATCGTCACAAAAAGCCAGACCCCCCCCCCCCAAATGACGTCACATCTCAGCCTACAACCCCCCTCAAAATTTGCAGTTAAATATTTTTTTAAACATCGATATTTTTCCAAAATTTTGTCTGAACTCTGTCAACATAGAATCTTTTAATCAATTCCTATTACAATATATTAAAACAGTTTTCTAAAACGCTAAATAACGTCTAAAATTAGTTTTCTAACATTGCTTTTTATAATTCAAAAGTGTGGCGTCGCCCCATCTGAACCCTTCCCCCTCATCACACACCGTCACAAAATTACGGACTTCTCCCCCCCCCCCCCCCTACGAGTGTGACTGCATTTATGGACGACCCCAAAAGCTTAGTTAATTATAAAAATGTGAGTTAGTTACTACCTTAAAATAAAACAGGTATTTATAAATAAACATTTGCAGACTTGTTGTATAAACACTCTAAAAATAGAATTATGTAATTTATATCCAAAAATGAATGTCCTATTTATAAGGATATATAAATGTCATACACCAGCTAAACAATCCCAACACATTTTTATACATTATTGATAAAATATTTACTTTTCTTTAACAAAACATATATTTAGGCAAAAAAGTAAAAAGCATAAAACGTTTCCGAAAACCAATGCAACAGCGTACAACAGTTAAACACGAAAACAACAGCAGCTACCCTTGCAGTCAGAGTTGTTCAGATCAACTTTGCGATCCAATAACTGGCCATTGTAAAGTATGTCCGCCTGGGAAACAAGGAGCTCACTGCGAGAAAGGTAGATTATAAAAGTTCTTACATTTCTTAGCAAATGAATGTTGCCTTATTTGGCGCACCCCTTACCGAAAGTTTCTAATTCATACGTGAAATTTTTACTAGATAAAAATCATTTATTTATGAAAATTTAATTATTATTAAACTGATAATAAATTGAATTGATTATAGCTTTCTAGACGATTATTTTTCATTATCTGTTTTCTTAAAAAGTGTGTCTCAATTTTTAAAGTTTAGCATTCCAAATTTTTCGACTTTTTATAAATCAATCATAAGTAATAAAACAAAAATTAATATGAAAAACTCTTAGTTAAACCCATAAATAGTTTATCTATGATGCAAAGATAATTCAAAATAAATCTTTCACATTGTTTAGAATATTGCAAAGGTTATAAATGTTTTTCCTTAATGGCACCTGCGTGGCAGCATTCTGAAGTAAACTAAATTCTATCCAGTCGAATAATAACACGGTAGTAATCGCTTCACGTAAAGTCATAAATAAACTTAACGCTAACGCTGACATAGCAAACAACTCATTGAAGCTGTCATTTTAGTATATGGTGAATCTTATGCATATATCCTTTCTGTGCATAATATTGTGTTTTAAAATGTATGTGTCTTTGTAAAAAAATGAATTTTTAAGAAGAAAAATAATTACTATTATTTTTGTGGTAATATGAAGTAAAATCATCTACACTTCTTTATTTCTGCGTCCCTAAATATTAAAGGGTTACACCATTGTATTATAAATATTTTAGTATAGCAAAATATTCCTACTAAATACTTAAGTATGAAAAAACACTGTGTCCAAGCGATACTTATGGAATGAAATGCAATAAAGCCTCTGGTTGTCAGAATGGTACACATTAACTCTGTCATCTAATAAAAGGACAGCGTAAAACATGTAGATTTAGAACTGGAATAATGGGAGATTACTTTGACAAAGATAGAAAGTTATAATATTTAATGATCGCTGAATGAGTAAGCTTATATTATCTTTCTTTCTTAAATTTAAAGTAGAATTTCATTTATAAAGTATTGACTTTTTGCAAACAGTTTGCACGCACTGTTTCTCGTTGTTGAACATCTATCAAATTTTTTATATTTTGCTCATTTGTTTTCAAAACATAATGTAGACTGCAGTATGTACAGATACGGATTAAACTGTAGGCAAATGTGTTCAAGTCGATGCAAAGATTCTAAATGTAACCCAGTAAATGGTACCTGCTTGTCATGTAATGCTGGCTACACGGGAGCTGATTGCCTCACTCGTGAGTAATGTTTGATATACAAGTCCACTAATGTAAATGTGAAAAGAAATTTAAATAGTGCAAGTTAATGAGCACAGCCTCTACGCTGATAAAATTAGAACACCTTACTTGTACCAGCACCTCGAGAATATTTTAAAACGAAATGTATTGATATGGTTTCCGATTATTGTTTATATGAGTACAATTACTTTTTTTTTTACTTATCCACTCTGAATGAATTTTAAAATGTTGCATACTTTTATTCTTTAAAATTATTGCACAATAGTTTTGTAAGGATTTTAGTTTTATCACACAAATAGCATCAAGAGTGATTGTCGATATTGTGTGACCCACTCCTATTGCTCACACAAACACACACAAACACACACACACACACATGAACACACGCACACGCACACGCACACATACACACAGAGGCGTAGCGAGGGGGGGGGCGGAGGTGCGGACCGCACCGGGCTACACCATTTACGGGGTGACACCAATGCAAAAAATAGCAAGATATATAGAGAAAAATGATTAATTCGAGTGTTAAATAGTCTTTTAAGAGGTGCAGCCAATCGAAAGTTTGAGGAAGGGTGCAAATCAAAAGTTTGAGGAGGGGGGGGGGGGTTGCAAATCGAAAATTGAAAGTTTTGTCCCCGGGAAGGGTCGCTACGTCTCTGGGGGGTGACACCATTAAGTGCCGCACCGGGTAACACCCGACGTCGCTACGCCACTGCATACAAACACTCTCGCTCTCTCAATATATCTATAATATAAGAGGCTAGGTATTTTTCTATAGTTGCCACAGTTTTACCCTTTCGCATAACGTTAAGAAAATATTAAATACACGAAAATTGCTAAAACATATTAAACTGATCAACGTCAAATAGCATTTTAGTTTTGATTCCTAGAAAAAGTGGATATATTTTAATAATTTGTAATTTTGTCAAGGGATGTTATTTAAAAATAAACCAACTCACTCTAATTAATAAAATAAGAATGCAAAATCTCCAGATGTGTAAAAGGACATTATTGTTGGAATATTATAATTAGCATGGATTGAAAAAAAAAATGCTATCTTTTATTTACTTTATTCACTGAACGTACTGTTTACTAATTATAATTTTTAATCAACTATTTCGCACTATCATACTGGCGTCAACACGTTCATTAGGTGCGCAATGGTTTTAGTCATGAAACTCTACTGTAATTTTTTAAATTTAAAGTACTTAAAAAATGCATAAATTGATAAAGTGCAATAATGTAGGTAACACACGGACAATTTAAATACTGCTTTTTATTTATTATATGCACTGAACGTATTGTTTACTAATTATTATTCTATCTTTCGGTTTGCGTTTACTGAATCAGGCGCGTCCGACGGCGCTCGGACAGGATGCGATTTTGCGCCACGGGCTAGACTGTGAGCACTATGAATTTATTTTTGCATTTAAGTTGTGTTTATGTTATGAGTGTTAAGTTTGTTTTTTCGTTTGTGTTTTTTTTTTGCGTTTGCATTTGTGTTTGCATTGTGTTCGTGTTTTCATTTGTGTTTTTATTTGCGTTTGTTTTTACTTTCTCGTACATACGAAGTATAGAGTGAGTCTTGTAATCGTGCAAAAAAAAAAATCCAGATTTTTACAAATCTCGACGTTTTACATCTCACTGATACGGAATAACATAATTTTGCAATCTTGTCCGTATGTCTGGGTGTCTGTCTGTGTGTCTGTGTGTGTGTGTAAACACGATAACTTGAGTACCGTTACAGATAGGTTGATGAAATTTCATATATAAGTATTTTATCAAAATCGTAGATCCGTATCAACTTTTGAGCGATTTCCGATAACCGGAAGTGGTACTTTTTCTACTTTGAATTTTTCAAAAGCCTATAACTTGAGCACTATTTCAGATAGATAAATGAAATTTCACATGTAAGTAAAAGATCTAATTCTCTATTCTCTGTCAAATTTTGAGTAATTTCCGTTGACCGTAAGTACTAATTTACGCTATTTCCGATTTCTCAAAAAACGCATGCAAATTTATAAAGTAATAATAATATTGCGCACTATTATGCACTTTTTTATTTGGCGTTCACTTTTTGTGCAATTTTTTTTGTCTACGATATATATATATATATATATATATATATATATATATATATATATATATATATATATATATATATATATATATATATATATACATATATATCGCGGAAATTGAGTACTATAAATAGGAAACAATGATTTTTGCTTTTATAGTTATATGAAACAACGAATTAATTAACATTTTAAGTCAAATTTCTTGTCATTGAATTTTTACCTGCATACAAAATAGAAATCGAAAATTCCGTAAAGAACTACTTTCGTTCTCCGGAAATTAGTCAAAATTCGACAGATTTAAGATGATAAGATTGTATACCTATTTTTGAAATTTCGATCATCTAAATGAAATTGTAGGCCGACTTGCGATCAGTATTTTAGAAACCGGAGCTACAACTATCGGAGGTCACTGAAAAATTTTAAATAAATTTAAGTATAAGATCCGACACTTATATATCAAATGTTTTCTACCTAAGTGCAACATAACTTAAAGTTTTCACACAAAAATTTATATATATATATATATATATATATATATATATATATATATATATATATATATATATATATATATATATATATATATATATATATATATATATATATATATATGGTGACAGGACAAATGATCTCAGGACAAATGATCTCAATGACAAATGATCTCACGGACAAAGTTACCAGGACAAAATATATCAGGACAAAAGATACCATGGACAAATGATCTCAGACAAAATATCTCAGACAAAATATCCCACAGCAAAATTTCAAAAGTGTATTGGATACTTTTAGTTGATCTGAACAGTTTTTTTATTGACTGTCATATGGTTTTGTTTACTATGTTTAATATTGTTTATAGGCCTATAAAATATAATAATTGTAAGAAATGTTTGCCGTATAAATTTGCCATATTGTACTAAGCATTTTAAAATTGAGATTACTAATAAAGAATGCGAAGATTTGTTTCGAAATACAGCGTAGGTTGGCTTGACAAACATGAGGCAATCCTACCACGTCAGGTGGACGAAACTAGATCAAAGGGAACGAAATAATAATAAAGACACACCTTCGTATCAAGGTGGCAGCCAGCTTTGATGACAGAGACATGCCTTATTGGAAAGACAACCGCCCTCCATGGGCAATACAACTAGCATCCAATGTCAATTGTTATGCGTCGGTCACACCTTAGTGATCAGGTGACAAATGCTTATTTAAACGACGGTGGTCATCGCGGAGCGAAGTTTTTCATGGTGTGCATGCTAACAAAGAAGTATTAGTGGTGATTACTCAGCTAAGGCCTCTTTCGTTACCTCGCATTAGGGCATTAGTTTCTAATGAATTTCTGTTTATAAAAGCCATAAGTAGAGCAGCAGGCAAAGAAATTTGGAAGTGTCAAGTAAGAACATGTAGGCTACAGCGAAAGTTCACACAATACATGATCACATAGTATTGGAAATGTGTGATCATAACGATGTACCTGCCAGCAAAGTAACGAAAACTTTATTTTTGTGTTGATGATGCAGTAAAAACAACAGTTTTAAGTTAAGAACCTGAAGACCCATTCACATTTGTTTGTTAAGTTTAACAAATTCATTTTATAACAATCAATTATTATGCGTAAAAAGAGTAAACAAAACCATATTGACAATCAAAAAGTTCAAATTAACTTAAAATCATCGTTCATATCATTAAAATTTTGCTGTGAGATATTTTGTCTGAGATATTTTGTCTGAGATCATTTGTCCATGCTATCATTTGTCCTGATATATTTTGTCCTGGTATCTTTTGTCCGTGAGATCATTTGTCCATGAGATCATTTGTCCTGAGATCATTTGTCTGAGATATTTTGTCTGAGATAATTTGTCCTGAGATCATTTGTCATGGAACCATATATAGTTAAGATGGTGGTGTTATTATAACAATCTTTAATAATACACAAATACATACATTCATTTTGACAAACATAATTAAAACAAGTTATGCAGGTCTACTTTTGCAAATATTACAAATTTTAGAACCGAATGAAAACAGACACAGATTTTCACCAGTTATCCTAAAAATCATTACGCAGACATTGTACACATTCTTTATATATGTCCATCTAAGATGTCAAATGTGTGAATATTGAAAAAAACATTTCTAATAACAGCGTGTTCAAACGGTAGTTACGGAAATAACTGCAGCAGTGAGTGTAGTCAGAATTGTGCAAATCAACTTTGTTATCCAGACAATGGAAGATGTATATCGTGTCCTTATGGACAAAAAGGAGAGTTCTGCGAACAAAGTAGGTTTTAACCGTTTTCAATCATTATTCCTAGAGTCGTTTATATTGTACTGACACACTTTTCTAGGTTATCCACTCCTGAATTTCGACACTTTACAAAGTTAATATATTAAAAAAAACAGAATACTTTTTTGACAAATACAGAATTTCATTTTGTCAAATCAGTTTGCATTATTTCTAAAATTGTATGCTTTCTAAATATGCATTATACAGATTGCTCTCAGAACACTTACGGAAGAAGCTGTAAAGAAAAGTGTTCAATATTCTGCAAGGATTTTAAATGTGACCCAGTAGATGGTCGCTGTCTGGCTTGTCGTGAAGGCTATATGGGAGCTAATTGCCTCACTCGTGAGTAGCTTGTTTGTCAACAATATGAATCATAACCGGTCGAATGTATTGTGAAGTATGAAAAACAACACACTCTTCACTGTACAATATCCTACGTACACACAATTTGAGAATGTCACACAATTATAAATCAATTAAAATAAACACAAAATCTATCGAACTTTTCTCAATTGAGATTCTTTTTTAATATAGATCTATTAATATTTTTTTAATGAAAGGATTTAGACATGCATACTCAGTGTAAATATAGATAATGGTTATAAGACGTCAAAAACCAAAGAAAAACTAACATTTCACAGTTTGATTTTGTACTCAAATTTAATACTTTTTCTTACACCACCTGTGTTTAAAAAAATCTTAATGATTAAATAATTTTAAATTAAAAATAATAGTTTCGCTGTCTGTGTAATTATCTGTCTATGTATCTGACAAGAACGCTATAGAGAAAACATAAGCAAAATAAAAACATGCATCAAATATATCAAATATATCAAATATATTCTACCTAAGTGCAACATAACTTAAGTTAAAATGTTCACAAAAAATGTTGCGGGTGTATAAATGTACTCTGTGTATATATATATATATATATATATATATATATATTTATATATATATATATATATATATATATATATATATATATAAATTTATATATACATATATATATATATATATATATATATACATACATATGGATATATATTGTTAAAATAGTGCTGTTTTAAAAACAATCTGTAATAATCCACACATACACACATTCATTTTGACAAACATAATTAAAACAATTTAAGTAGGTCTACTTTTGCAAATATTATAAAGGGGTTATTCATAAATGACGTCACACTCGTAGGGGGAGGGGGGGGGTCCTTAATTTTGTGACGATGTGTGATGACGGGGAGGGAAGGGGGTTCAGATGTTGCGACGTCACATTTTTGCATTATAAAAAAGCAATGTTAGAAAGTGAGTTTTAGATGTTATTTCGCGTTTTAGATAACTGTTTTAATAAATTGTAATAGTTTAGACAAGATTTTGGAAAAATATCGATGTTTTAAAAAAAATTCAACTGCAATTTTGAGGGGGGTTTTAGGTTGAGGTGTGACGTCATTTAGGGGGGGGGGGAGTCTGGCTTTTTGTGACGACGTGTGACGGAGGGTAGGGGGGGGGGGAGGTAAAAATCGTCGAAAAAAGCGTGACGTCATTTATGGATGATCCCAAACTTTAGAACCCCATGACAACAGACACGAATTTTCACAAGCTATCCTAAAAATCATTACGCAGACATTATACATATTCTTTATATTTGTTCATCTAAAATGTCAAATCGTTAATATTGAAAAAAAAGCTTTTCTAATGACAGGGTGTTCAAACGGTAGTTACGGAATTAACTGCAGTAGTGAGTGTAGTCAGAATTGTGCAAATCAACTTTGTTATCCAGACAATGGAAGATGTATGTCGTGTCCATATGGACAAAAAGGAGAGTTCTGCGAACAAAGTAGGTTTTAACCGTTTTCAATCATTATTCCTAGAGTCGTTTATATTGTACTGACACACTTTTCTAGGTTATCCACTCCTGAATTTCGACACTTTACAAAGTTAATATATTAAAAAAAACAGAATACTTTTTTGACAAATACAGAATTTCATTTTGTCAAATCAGTTTGCATTATTTCTAAAATTGTATGCTTTCTAAGTATGCATTATACAGATTGCTCTCAGAACACTTACGGAAGAAGCTGTAAAGAAAAGTGTTCAATATTCTGCAAGGATTTTAAATGTGACCCAGTAGATGGTCGCTGTCTGGCTTGTCGTGAAGGCTATATGGGAGCTAATTGCCTCACTCGTGAGTAGCTTGTTTGTCAACAATATGAATCATTACCGGTCGAATGTATTGTGATGTATGAAAAACAACACACTCTTCACTGTACAATATCCTACGTACACACAATTTGAGAATGTCACACAATTATAAATCAATTAAAATAAACACAAAATCTATCGAACTTTTCTCAATTGAGATTCATTTTTTTAATGTAGATCTATTAGTATTTTTTACTGAAAGGGCTTAGACATGCATACTCAGTGTAAATATAGATAATGATTATAAGACGTGAAATACCAAAGAAAAACAAACATTATACAGTTTGATTTTGTATTCAAATTTAATACGTTTTTTCTTACACCACCTGTTTAAAAAAATAATCTTATTTATTGAATAATTTTAAAAAATGTAATATCACACGAAGAAGCAGTCATGAAATCAGTGGTGTACCGTAAATGCTACCACGTTTGAGTTTTTGTCTACCCTGTTGATATTATGCAATTGTGAATATGGATTTTATTCAAAAACTGTAATCTTATTGTCCTCATGTTTCTTCACATTGAGAGTTGCGTGGTTAATACGTAGATAAGACCAACATACTTTTCTGTAATTTACCTGAGAGACAGATTAGGTATTTTTTCTATAATAAAAATAACTTAATTCACTTGCGTTGTTATATATTTTTACTTAATTTTTTTTTATATTTTTACTTTACAAGCCTGCAATGGCTATCACTATGGAGGAGGTTGCATTACACTATGTTCTGTTGACTGCAGACATTCAAAATGTAACATTACCAATGGTTATTGTTTACAATGTCAAATTGGTTTTCAATGTCACTTGAAGCATACAGCTTTTGTGTCTTCAATTTTTAAATTGATGTTATTCTTAAGAAACGTTTTTAATTATATTTGTGATTGATGAAAATTAATTTTAGTTGTGTTAAGTTAAAAACAGTTATTATAACTGTAATAATAAACAACAAAATCTGTTATGCATTACATTATATTCAACCCATTTTGTTAGAGTGCGATGCAAAACGTCATGGTCAAGACTGTCACGAAACATGCAGCAGTTTGTGTTTACATCAATTGTGTGACCACGTGACAGGAGACTGTAACAGCTGTGTGGCAGGGAAAGTTGGGGTCAAGTGTACTGAAGGTGAAATGTTTTCTGAAGAAAAAAAACTTTTGCGTATTATCTCTATCTAGCACATTTAGGTAGCTTGATGTTTCCTTTTTCGAATTTGACTGGCTTGATTTAAATATATCATAGACTGTCCTGGTAGAGCCTATGGACTAAATTGTAAGGGCAGATGTTCAGAGAACTGTGCGGTAGATGGCAGATGTGACCCAGCTAACGGGACGTGTTTACATGGTTGTGTTGCTGGCTATCAAGGAGATAATTGTAGTCAAAGTAAGGTAATTTGATATTGATAAACCTACTTTTTGAACACGTACATATTTTGACTTGAACTAGTTTACTTGTTCACTAAATTATTTGACTTTAATGTGCTCATTGCTAGATATCGGTTTTACATTTATGCCTTTGACGTTATACTGTAATCTCTAAATATTAAATGTCTTCCATTCTTAGCTAAAAATATAATAAAAATATTTTTTTTGTAGCTTGTATAGAAGGCTATTACGGCCAGAATTGTGCTCAATCTTGTAGCAGCTGGTGTTTAAAGCAGTTGTGTAACCACGTGACAGGAGAATGTCACGTATGTGTGGAAGGGAAAGCTGGGCCTAAATGCACTTATGGTACTCTTATACTGTACTTCATAGACTCGACCTTTTGACACATAGTCAATTTCGAACATTTCTAAAGATTGAACACTATTTATTAACGAACAAAGCTAGACTGTGTAAAGTTTGTTATGTACAGCTTATTTTAAACTTATTTCTTCTAAGGCAATGTTTTAATTGTAGGTGTTTATTCAATTAAGCCTGTATACTCACTTTCGATACAAATTATGTTTAATCCCTGCCATTTCTTCCACAGACCAAGGACATTCAGCCATCAAGTTGAAGTACATTGGCACTGGTGTTGGAATAGGAGTAGCTACATCCTCTTTTGTTTTTCTACTGGTCATCACAGTCGTTTATTTTCTTAAAAGGGTGAAGTGCATTGGAAATAAAACTACAAATAATGACAGCTCAATAGAGAAAAAGGAAAAGGGTAATACAAATTAAATTAACAAATATATGAAAAACAAAATGAATGCAAATTGTTGTATGCATATTAATTACAATATATATGTTATATGGCCTACCTATTTACACAATGCAGGTAAAGCTTTTTTTAAAATATTTTACTAAGTTACATGTTATTATTTATACAGCTTGTGATTATAATCTGTAAACGAAATGTGTAAATACACTCTCTCTCTCTCTCTCTCTCTCTCTCTCTCTCTATATATATATATATATATATATATATATATATATATATATATATATATATATATATATATATATATATAATAGCTCTTTACTGTCTATTTGTTTGAAATTTCTAAATACACAATTGGCATATCTAGGTCTATACCTACAAACCACAGCTAGTTAACAATCATCTGCTGTAAATATTTTTTTACCCACACATTCAACAGCGGAAACGGTTAATCTTAAGGACGTGAAGATCGTCGAGTCAGTTACTACTGAACAAGATTCCGCAGATGTTTATCACAATGAAATTACGAATATGTATGACGTCATAGGCTCACGTGGATTTGAAAAGCAGCACTCTTCAGATTATATGAAATATTAGCTTAAATTCACTTTAATAATTTAATGAGATCCAACCGTACCTGAACAGATGCAGCATTGATGTAGTCCCCTATGTCGATGTAGTCGGGGTGTAACAGTGGTCGGTACATCTCATCTGTGGTAGAGAGACGTGCAGAGGTTAGTACTATGTGTGTGTGGGGGGGGGTGTACTAGTCATGTAATATATATAATTTAGATGAAACACCTGCCGCAGTATTGCATTAGAGAAGCTGTTATAGCACTTCATTTTTAAAATTTACTCCAAATAATTTACAAATTAACCTATACATTTAAACCAACATTACATATTACACTACATGTTAAATATTTCATCGCAACAACAAAATACACATTTTAAAATCCTAATCTTGCAGAAAAATTAGTCAGATTAAGATTTAAGTCAACTGACAGCCTTAGAAACCATAACAACACACATATGCTACATAAGTTCCTTCAATAAAAAAAAAACTATTTCATTTAGGATTAACTAAGCCTAGCAAATTTTGACCATTATTTGTTAGATTAGTCAGCAACTTAATAGAATAAGTTTGTGATAATGAATACAACGGTTTATGTTTTGATTTATTCAAATAATCTATGATTTATATATACTTTTGTATAATTTATTCGTCACTGATAATATAACTTTTTTTGTAAAATTATTTTCTTTTCTTTAACCAAAATGAAACAATGACATACACAAGAAACGATTCAAAATTTTATGTTAAATACAAAGTTCATTAACTGATTATATTCATGCTTATCAATGTTAATTTCGTTTTATTTTAAAGACACTGCACACGTTTCCTTCTTATTGCATTTACTATAGTTTTCGCCTGAATTAACTGATGACTTGTTTCTAAAAATATTAAAACATTACCACATTGTCTTCTTCTGGTGTTAATCTTTTAACTATGATACGAACATAGATCAGTATGTGCGTATCGGGATGTATATAATGCTATAATAATTATCTTTAATATTTTTATTTTTATATGTTATTCAATTTGTTTTACCTGTTATTTCCTATTTTAACCCAACTGAGCTAGCGGAACGACTATTGTTGTTATTCAAAATTTAGTCGGGGGACCTAGATAGGTTTGTGTCAAGACATAGACCCCCCCCCCCCCCACATAATCCCTGTAACCCCTATACAAAGGAATACTAGCGACAATGAGAAAAAAAATGTCGTAATTAAAAAAAACAATTATACGAAACAAACAGTATTTTATAATTAATTTATATTTATTTTATTAATTAACATCTGAAACAAAAAGAGTTTAATTATTATATATTGTCAGTCGGCACAGAAAACAGCGCAGGCTACATTCTTCACAACACAACGAATTAACCTACAAATTAATAACGCAGTCGAGGTTCTGTATATTAAAAATGTTTTGGCATTGATGGTACTAGTACCATTTGACCTCACATTCTGGCAAAACCCTATCCATAGAATAAACACAAGAAGTAGTCCGTCAATGGACAGTGTAAATAATGTAGAAGCTGTTTTGAATGTACCACCTATCAACCAGTGCCGAATAGCCTGTAAGACTTAAAGGTTATTGTCCTGAGTTTCAAATAAAAATATATTACTTTATGACTCGGCACCAGAATCAAACAAAAGAAACTTATAACAGTTAAATGTAGATGAATGTATGTTTCGAGTATGTATCTTAAAAAGGCGATATGAATATAAAATATAGTATGGATGTGCGCATGCGCTAAGGAAAGGAAGGAGGGAGGTAGATAGAGCGCGAAGCAGATGGCGACGTTTTTTTTGCAGTGAAGGTGTTGTACATATGAACTAATAAAATTATGGAAATGATTTTTGTTTTGAGTGTGTGCCATGAAATAGGCAGTAGAAAAGGCCGTGACAAAACTGTTTTCCATCTTTTTTGTCTTCATATTAATTAAATCAAATACATAAATACACGTCTAATAAACACTTCTATATTGCTAAGTTTTGTACTTTTTTTCATTAGTATTTCCTTACACAATTCTCAAACGGGAGGAGGGGGGGGGGGGGTTATTGACGGGGGGCTTAATGTCGAGTGGGGGTTTATGTCGTGGGGTTTATTTCTAGGGGATCGATGTCCAGGTGGTTATGGACTAAGTCCGATTAAGATAGATCTGCTTGTCTTCCAATTCCTTAATTAGGAAGTAGTTAAGATGGCCGCAGTAATAATTTACAGCTTATTCTTCCGGTTCTCTATGCATAGCATCCATATACTTTCTTTTTCAATACTAACAGTTAATAAATCAGAATACATTGGTAAAACTTAATCCATTTTATTTATAAATTTATTTTTTAGAAATAATCGATTTATTGGGCCAAAAAGAAGAGTTTATTTGATCTCGTCATATAAAGGTATAATGTGGCCAGCACTATTCTCACCCGCCATGAATTTCCCTAACGTAATGCTGGTACCCATCAGAGCTGGGTGGACTCAGGGTAGTCCTAAGAAATTAGTGCTAACATCCAGTTAAACACTCTACCATTCAACCACGCCTCCCCATTCATTTATCAATAATTATGTTTCATTAAAATAGAATGATTAATCAGATATGAATGAACAGTTATTGACATCCTATTATTTTTTAAAGTGATTTCAATAGCCTACATATGTCGCATGCTAAACACTAAGTAGTATACTTAATCCTTCGCGTTTTATGACATGTGGGGCTCCCACCCATGCTTAATATCAAATCAAATATTAAATTGTTGCTGCTCGTCCAACAAAAACAGATGAGCAGAATACTTTGAGATTTATCTAGGTCAAGAATAGCTATAATATGAAAGCAATATGTATATGCAATATAGGTCTTCATCTTCCGTTTGATAATTATTAATCTCTAAATAATTGTAAACATTGGATAATTAATTAATGAAATGCCGAAGCTGTAGATGTGAGTCATATACGACATCAAAATAGGCTACACGCACAGCGGAACGTGTTTGGTTTTCATGTTGTAGAGATGATTAAAGTAAAACGTCACATAAAAAAAGTAAAGTTAATTACAGCCAGCTGTTGGAGTAGTCAGCCAACACTTGTATGCAGGAAGGAAATTACGCATAACACGGGGAAGTTAAACTAGCATTAGCTTAGCGTAGATTTAGTAAGATAAAAGAAAACTGTATACACATATGAATCATTAGAGAGAGAGAGAGAGAGAGAGAGAGAGAGAAAGACAGAGAGAGAGAGAGAGACAAAGAGAGAAGATTGTTAAATTAACACAAGTATTCTTGTATATATAAAATTTCCCGCGATAAAGAGATGGGCAGGTTACGAATAAGAAATTGTCTATCCTAATCTTTTTTATACATTCTTTTATAATTGCAGGGTCAGGGCGTTTTCAGGAGCTATAGACATAATTTGAATGTAGGCCTACCATCTATCAACCAGTGCCGAATTATTGTTTATTTTTTTTAATACAACACATTTTTTTTCAACAGAATAGAATCGTGCCGAAAAACGATTAGCTCACCTAATAAACGTAAACAGTGTGAGTATGATGAAGCGGAAAATTAGTGCTTTTTAAAAGAAACAAGTTAATTAAAAAAGTCTAGTGACATTTGTGCGCAATTTCCTTATGTTATCTAAAAATAGCTCTGACGTATAATGTTGGGGTGCGTTCAAGCTAGAAGAACAATCGGTTTGTAGGTGTTTATGTAATTTTAAAATTTGTGACCGAACGAGAGAATATTTTTGAAAACTTTCTTCGGCAATATTGTTCTAAATTATGACAGGAATCGATTGGTACATGTTTCAAGTCGCTAAGTGGTCTGGTTGCCGAGATATGGGCCAAAAACTGCATTTTTTCGAGGTTTTTTGGCTTTTCCGGGAAATACATGAAAGAAACCCGGAATTTTTATGGCCTATGCTCATTCTCGTAACTTGCTTAACATAATTGCTTTGGAACTATTCATCGATATTGCTTCGTTGAGGAGGAGATACGACTTAAAGCCCGGACACACATTCATCCATCCATCCATCCATTCCCAGAAATGACGAGTTAATAAACGCAATTCTCCAGAATGGAAATTGCGCTAAAAATGATTACAATACATTAGTCAGCAACTTAATAGAGTGAGTTTGTGATAATTAATATAACAGTTTATTATTTAATTTATTCAAATAATAGCACTTTTTTGGTCAAATTATTTTCTTTTCTTTTACCTAAAGTAAACAATGACATACACAAGAAACGAAGCAAAATTTTATGTTAAATACAAAGAACATTAACTGTTTATATTCATGCTTATCAATGTTGATTTTATTTTATCTGAAAGACACGGCACACGTTTTTTTTTTCTTTTTGCATTTACTATAGTTTTCGACTGAATTAACTGATGACTTGTTTCTAAAAATATTAACACATTACCACATTGTCTTCTTCTGGTGTTAATCTTTTAACTATGATACGAAAATAGATCAGTATGTGCGTATCGGGATGTATATAATGCCGTAATAATTATCTTTAAGATTTTTATTTTTCTATGTTATTCAATTTGTTTTATCTGTTATTTCCTATTTTAACCCAACTGAAAGTTTTAGTCTCTAACTGAGCTATTCAAAATCTAGTCAAGGGATCTAGATAGGTTTGTGTCAAGACATAGCCCCCCCCCACCCCCCCCCCCCGACATAAACCCTGTAACCCCTATACAAGGGAACACTAGCGACAATGAGAAAAAATATATCGTAATTAAAAAAAACAATTATACGAAACAAACAGTATTTTATAATTAATTTATATTTATTTTATTAATTAACATCTGAAACAAAAAGAGTTTAATTATTATAAATTGTCAGTCGGCACAGAAAACAGCGCAGGCTACATTCTTCACAACACAACGAGTTACCCTACAAATTAATAACGCAGTCGAGGTTCTGTATATTAAAAATCTTTTGGCATTGATGGTACTAGCACCATTTGACCTCACATTCTGGCAAAATCCTATCTATATAATAAACACAAGAAGTAGTCCGTCAATGGACA